AACACACATGCATGCACACACAGTGTCTAAGAATGAGAAAAGTCTAAGAATGTGTTAGTCAGTTGTATGTATAGGAAACCAGGATCTTGTGTTGAAATGTTTAAAGAAAAAATAGTTGATATGTATGATGATATAATCAACAGAAAAATGTGTTTTGTCTGTGGGGATTTTAACATTGACCTGTTGAATCCTCAAATGCAAAATGCAAATACAGAGTTTATTAATTCCATGTTTAGTTTGGGACTGTATCCACTAATAACTCGGCCAACTCGAATTACAAAAACTAGTGCGACACTGATCGACAATATTTTTACAAATATTCTTGAATATGATGTGTTAAGTGGTCTTGTAATTACCGATATGTCTGATCATTTACCGGTTTTCACAGTCGTACAAAGGACAACTGTAACTACTCAAAGTGAATCTGTGGTTGTTACAAGGCTAAAAAATCAAGAAGCAGTAAATTCATTTAAAACTGACTTAATGGAACAACATTGGGAGGAGGTTTATGTGGAAGATGTAAATATGGCTTATGGAAAATTTTTAAATATTATAACTTCTCTTTATGAAAAAAACTGCCCTTTGCTTTATAAGGTGGATAAGAATAAATATGCTAAAAAGCCGTGGATAACTAAGGGGATTCAGAAGGCTTGCAGGAAAAAAAAATAAGCTGTATAAAGACTTTTTAAAGAAAAGAACGGAGGAAGCAGAACAGAATTACAAGATATACAAGAATAAATTAATAAGTATTATGAGATCTAGTAAAAGAAATTATTATAGCAAATTATTGGAAGGAAATAAATCTAACATTAAAAATACGTGGCGCATATTAAATGATGTAATAAAAAAGGGTAGTGGAACCAATAGTCTTCCAAATATTTTTCTAACAAAAGACAATCAAGAAATTTATCAGTCTAAAGAAATAGCAAATGAATTCAATAAGTATTTTACCGAAATTGGGCCAGATTTGGCAAAGGATATATCAAATACTAAATTAGATGCTGATGCTGTGAGTAAAATAACAAATTTAGACAAAACCATATTTATTCAAGGCACAAATGAAAATGAAGTTATAACAGTTGTTAAAACATTTAAAAGTAAAAAGTCAGCAGATTTACATGGATTTGATATGTCGGTTGTAAAAGAAATCATTGAGATTATAGCCAAACCACTTACACATATTTGTAACCAGTCTCTCCAATCAGGAAGATTTCCTGAAAGGATGAAGGTTGCAAAAGTCATTCCTATCTATAAGGCTGGAGACAAACATGACTTTTCTAATTATAGACCAATTTCAATTTTATCTCAGTTCTCCAAAATACTAGAAACAATATTTCATAAAAGATTGTATGACTTTATTGAGCATCATGATATTCTTTCTGAACAGCAATATGGTTTTAGACGTGATCGGACAACTTCTCTGGCAATTGTTGATCTAGTGGAGAAAATATCTGATGCAATTGACAACAAACAATATGCTGTTGGGGTCTTCTTAGACCTGACCAAAGCTTTTGATACTGTTAATCATGACTTATTAATAAAAAAATTGTGTAGATATGGCATCAGGGGTGTGGCCTATGACTGGATTAAGAGTTATTTAGAGAACAGACTCCAATATGTCCACATTAACAACACTGATTCACAGCTACTGACAGTGACCACCGGTATCCCACAGGGGTCAGTGTTGGGTCCCTTGTTGTTTATTCTTTATATTAATGACATATGTTTAGTTTCTAAAACATTGCATTTCATACTATTTGCAGATGATACTAATGTTCTAAGTTTTGGGAAAGATTTAATAACATTAATGGACAAGTTTGAGAAAGAATTAAATGCATTAAAGTGTTGGTTTAACTTAAATAAATTAACTTTAAATTTAAATAAAACAAAATTTATCATATTTACTAATAGAGCAATTACAGTGGATACAAATCTCAAAATAAATAATACAGAAATTGAAAGAGCGAATGAAATAAAATTTCTTGGCGTAACCATAGAAAAAAAGTTAAGTTGGAAACCGCATATTGACTCAATTAAAGCAAAGTTATTGAAATCATTAGCAGTTCTCTATAAAGTTAAAGAATTTTTAGATGAAAAAGCTTTATATCTTTTGTATTGTTCCTTATTTCTGCCTTATTTCATGTATTGTGTTGAAGTGTGGGGAAATACCTACGAAACCCACTTAAAGCCTTTGTTTATAATTCAAAAGAGAGCAATCCGACTTGTAAATAAAGCAGCTTGTAGAGAGCATACACATTTACTTTATATTCATTTAAAAGTATTAAAGCTAAGAGAATTAGTTACATTAAGAACTGCACAGTTTATGTATAAAGTGATGTATAATTTGATGCCAAAACAAATTCAGGATCTGTTCCAGATCAGAGAGAGTGTTTATGATCTCAGAGGGTATAAAATGTTTAGAAAGCCTAAAGTAAGAACTAAAATGAAACAACTTTGTATTTCTTGTGTTGGGGTTGATGTGTGGAATAAATTAGACCAGGAGCAAAAAGATTGTTCAACAATGGTAAAGTTTAAGGGTATGTTTAAATCAAATGTGATTAAATATTATGAATCAAGTCAATGAAAAAATGCATAAAACATTAAAGGTCTTTTTTTTTTTTATGAAGCTAGAATGGGGATTTGAATATATTCCCATACATTTCAAACATGATGTAAAAATTATGGAATCGGTACGCTATTCTAAAATTTTGTTTAAGTTCAAAGGGTTTGGGGGGCTGGGCTTATAAGCTTATGCTTCTGCCCGCGCCCATTCTTAGCATTGTGTAAGTTGTGTGTTTGCTTGTAAACCTGCAAATGTTTCTTTGTTATATTATATTGCACTATTGATTTTAATTTCTCATTAATTTCTCATTAAACTTCTCTCTCTTCTCTCACACACACACACACACGCATGCATGCACACACACACGCACACACACACACACACATGCGGACACATGCATGCACACGCGTGCGCACACACACAAGCACACACACACACACGCATGCATGCACACACACACACACACACATGCACACGCACACACACATGCGGACACATGCATGCACACGCATGCGCACGCACACACACACAAGCACACGCACACACACACACACACACACACACACACACACACACACACACACACACACACACACACACACACACACACACACACACAAATCTTTGAAAACTCTTGATTAAAAAAATGCTTCAGTTAGTTTTTAAATATAATTTTCAAGTTCTTGCAGTAAAAATACACCAGAAGCACCAAACTGGAATCCTGAAACTAAAACTTGCTCCACTTAACTTATTTTCCCATTAATCATCCACATCAGCGGCACAAATGTCCAAAAAAGGATCAGAACCTGATTATTGTAGCTCTCACACATGAAATAAAAGTCAGGTAAGTTCTATTTTTAATAGATGAAAACAAATTTTATGTTTTTAATGACAAAACATCAACCAGAGCTTCAATAATAATTTTAAAAAGAGTCATTCATTGAAATTGGTTTCAGAATTAAATGCAAAGACCAATCCGAAACTCAAAAATCTGATTTTAAATAAACGTTTTGGTCTGTGAACGCATCATTACCAAGCGTTAGCCTATTAGCGATGACTGATTTTCTATGCAGACATTTTAATTCTGGAATAATTGTTTTAGTTTTCCTGTTATTACTGTTTGAGAGTTTGAGGATCAGAATCAGACAAAATTGGTAATGGCAGGTCAGATCTGTAAAAAAAAAATCGGAAATTGGTTTAAACTCCTCAAAACCAGAATAGGTGCATTTATAACAACAACAACACTTGTAGTACTGATTTCCTCCACCAGATGGTCGAAAACAAAGAGGATTCAAATAAGCCCTTTTTGCAGAAAGTACTGATCCTGTTAAAGACGTAGAGCTCTTATAAATAAGCACAAACATGCTGTTAAACTGTAAAATTTACCATTTTACTAAAGTCTTTGGTAGAAAATGTCTCTTTTAGTGAAATAATCATAATCACTAAAAAGCAGCAGAAGTGATCAATCTAATGGGTCATTTTACAAGAAGTTTGGTTCTGTCCTGCAGTTGGATCACCGTGCGCACTTATATAACAGGGCAGGCAATATTTCCCTGCAGAAAACAAACAGCCAGTGTTTGCCCAGAGATAAGCGCAGCTGCTGCACACCTGCCTGCAGCTCACCTCTCCTTCTCCCTGGAGCAAACGAGGATCTTTTAGAGCAGACAGGTGATGAGTTAGGAAGGCTGAAGGTCTCAGCGCCCCTTTCATCTCCATCACATCAGGAGCAACCACGCGGCTCCAGAGACAAAACAGTCCAAACAGACTGCAGGAATTCAGCTAATTAAATAACTGGAAGAGCTTCTGATACCAAATGGTCTCAATCACATAAAAGCATCAGATTCTTTAAAGTCTCTGATAAAGTTCTGACATTGACCTCTAATAGGACCACAGTGCTTGCTAAGATTTGCAGTCAAGAGTTTAGAGCCACACTTTAAATAGACTTCACGAGAGGACATGTTTGTGCAGTTGGGCTGTGGGATTGGATGGGATTAGAATATTATGGAGCAAGTTCTCCACAACAAAACCACTGGGTCCTAGTTTCAGGTTACTTCCGGGAAAAAAATGCTTTAAAAAAATCACCCAGCTTCCAAAAGGTGTTCAGCTTTAGGTTAGAGTTCAGAAACCTCTTCTCTTGTTTTTGGATCAGTTTGGCACAGGCACTAATTTATGATTCTGCAATAACATAAAAATACGCATTTTTCTCTTGTAACAGGAAAAGTAATGGAAACAGCTGATTGGCTGATTTTATTGTCGCCAAAATCACCTTAAAGGCTAAATTTGGAACTGTTCTGCAGATTTATGGTTAATCATAATTATTTAATTATTAAGAAGTGACGCCTTCCCTTCAGATTTTTAGTCAAACATCAATTCTATAAATATGTGTAGGTTCCTCCGTTGTTTAATTTGTTAAACAGTAAAATGAGGATGAGCTCACCTCCGAGCAGCAGCAGCAGCAGCAGCTGCAGCGCAGCGACGTTTCCCCGACAGAAGCCACAACTTGACTCCATATTAGAAAACCATTAGGGAAAGTTTCTCAATGAAAATCCAGTCGCTCCTGGAAAAGTTCCCCTCAGATGAGCTAAATAAAGAAGGAGTAGCTGTAAAACCGAGAGAAAAGCGCAGAAATGCGTTATTGAAGGTGTGCGTCCTGCGTCCGGGGAGCCCAGCTGGAGTCCGCGTCCCCACAGAAGAGCTCCTGCGGCTGCTGAGGGGCTGGCTGACTGGGGGGGGGGGGGGGGGGGGGGGGGGGGCAGGAGGAGGGGGAGGAAAAGGGAGGAGGTTTGCTGCTCCACCGCTCTCTGCCCGCTGGTTCCGCAGCAGCAGGTAGGTCAGCATCTACAGGAAATAAGAGCATCATTTATCCTCAGGCCAGTCATCTCATTAACAGCCAGCAGGAGGTGGGGGTGGGTGTGTATTCTAACTAACTACCTCTAAATGTGTGAAGTCTGGATCAACAAAAAACACGAAAACGATGTTTGACTACAGTCAAAGAATCATTTTGATATAACCTTTTAGAAACAAATTTAAAATAAACGCACAGACATTTAAAAACTACAATCTAAATGTGTAACAGTTAACATAACGCATTTAGATGAAGTTAATTGAAATTGTTTAGTAAATTCAGTTTATTGTGAATTCTAAATATTTTTAATCCAATCTACTGTACAGGTATGTATATTAAGCTTAATCTAAAATTTTAAATACAAACATTTAATAATTAAAGTTATAGTGAAATATTTTAATCAAAGACATTTAAAAATGTCAACTCAAATCTGAATATAAGGCCTTAATTTAATTTATCTGTTTGGAATAGAGACTGAAAATATCAAATCTAAATATTTACAATAAAATTTTTAACAAAAAGACCAAACTAAATATACGAAGATAGAGACATTTCTAAACATATAAAGTTATAATTACATATTTAGAACTAAAACAATATATAAACAAAACCCAAATATTTAGAATCCATTCATTTTCATCCGCTTATCCGGAGTCGGGTAGCGGGGGCAGTAGCCTCAGTTGAGAGGCCCAGACTTCCCTCTCCCCAGCTACTTGGGCCAGCTCCTCCGGGGGAATCCCAAGGCGTTACCTGGCCAGGTGAGAGACATAGTCCCTCCAATGTGTCCTGGGTCTACCTTTAGGCCTCCTCCTGGTTGGACATGCAGAAAACCTCACCAGGGAGTCGTCCAGGAGGCATCCTGACCAGATGCCCGAGCCACCTCAACTGGCTCCTCTCGATGTGGAGGAGCAGCGGGTCCAGTGGCGGCGTCATGGGGCGCTATAGCTACCCCTGGATAAGTCATAGCACCCCCATAGCACCCCCAAGTAAATATTATATATTTTTTTACACTTTAATTTTAATTTAATGTGTGGATGTGAAAATATTTAACAAACAAAACAAAAATAATCAGTAAATTATCATATAGATTGTAAAAACTTAAACCAAAACAGGAAATTGATGTTAACCTATGACCTCTTTTTCCACCTGTGAACGAGTGAAATGTAGAGCTAGCGGTAAAATGGGTCGGGTTTTGTTGCCCACATTTCCACGGGTTCAGTCAGAAACGAATGAATCTTTGGAAGCGATCTCAGACCCACAAAAACCTACGGATCTGGATGAAGAGAGTCAACCCTCAACCGCCGCAGCAGTCCAGGGTTTGGCCGCTGGAAATGCTAACGCTAACTTTAGCTAACCTTGCAACACTATACAGTAATCCCTCGTTTATCGCGGTAGATGCGTTCCAGACCTGGCCGCGATAGGTGAAAATCCGCGAAGTAGGGACTCCCAGCATGCCCCTCGTGGGGATTCCCTCCACGTCGCACCTACGTCTGTGAAAGTCGCCTTTCCAGCTCACCACTCAGTCATCGTTTCTTCAGATTCATGATCAGAGTTTCCAACCTACCGATCAATCCAACGAACTATCAGCTCATAGTAAGTTATCTTACTTACTTCTGGAAAGCCCGGCATTTCCGTGTCACTTCGTTGACGCTCGAACGCTCGGGGGTTTCCTAGATTAGCCGGCGTTTCACCGAAGCTATCACTTCCGCGTCTGTGAAACCACGCTCCCTATTGAATTATCGTATGATCACATTCTCTTTTTGTGGGTAAAACTCAAGAAAACAATTTTTTTACTTGTTTTTTTTAGTTTTATTAGAAAAAGTGCATTTTATGATGAAATTGATTAAAAAAAACAAGAATTTCTTGATATTTCGCATAGAAAAATACCGCGAATCAGTGAAAAATACCGCGAATCTGCGAATTCCCCCTGAAAAATGCTCCAAAGAAAAAATCCGCGAAGCAGCGAATCCGCGATGAACGAACCGCGAAGAAGCGAGGGAGAAGGTTTTCTGTGTGGCTGTATTTGTTTATGATTTCATGGAAAAGTCAGCGATTGTTCATATGTTTATGATGTATATTAATGATTGTTTCTGGTGTTGTTGAGGTGTTGTGTACACGTGTATCTTCTAGTGTTGAAGGTGTTTTAGCGAACAATAGGTACGCATGACCACTTCCTTCATAGTAGAGCCCTGCACGGGCCTAAAATCTGAGCCCATGTCCGGCCCGGCCCGAGGAGGTGGAGCCCCAGCCCGACCCGGTCCAAAAAGGTTTTCAGGATTCTCTGGCCCGACCTGAGCCCGACTTTTTTTTAACCTTTCATAATGTTTTAGTGTGATAAATGCTCAGCGTTCTAATTATCTGTAAGAAGCGTTCTGCAGTAAAAAAAGAAAAGAAAGAAAAACAGCATCAATGCAGCTTTTTTTTCTAACAGAACGTATTTTTCGAGCGGCAGGTGAAATTTACGAACACTATATTAATTGGATGCGTTTGTAAATTTAATCTGCTCTGAAAATGCGCTCTTGTGCAATTAGAAAAAAAAGCTGCATTCTAATTTTCTAACTGGAGAGCACATTTTCAGAGCGGCAGATTAAATAAACGCCCCCAATTAATAAAGCGTTTGTAAATTTTATCTGCCGCTCTGAAAATGCGCTCTCCAGTTAGAAAAAACCCAGCAATGAATGTTGTATTTTTTTAACTGCAGAGCGAATTTATTCACAGAAAAACAGAATGCTGCCGTTTTCATGAGAATAAACGAATGGTTTCTGACATCAAAGTGGACAAAAAATGGCTTATTAGAATAGGAGCACATGTTTCAATCAGCAGTTTGGGAATTCGTTTATGTAGGCGCATTTATAAACCACACAGACCTTAACTGAGCTAACGGTGCGTGAGAAGCAGGCAGGTGCTGCTGCGTTCAAGTGTTTCAGATTTTTTTAATGAATTTGATTTAAAAATAAAGGCGCCCGGCCCTAGGGCTCCAGTGCAGGGCTCTACTTCATAGCACCCTCAATAAAATGACTAGCTCCTTCATAGCACCTGCAGAAAAAAAATTCCGGAGCCGCCACTGAGCGGCTCTACTCAGAGCCCCTCCCGAATGACCGAGCTTCTCACCCTATCTCTAAGGGAGAGCCCAGCCACTCTTCGGAGAAAACTCATTTCGGCCGCTTGTATCCGCGATCTCGTTCTTTCGGTCACTACCCAAAGCTCGTGACCATAGATGAGGGCAGGAACGTAGATCGACCGGTAAATCGAGAGTTTTACCGGTCTATAGGTGTAGACCTAAATTAAAAAAAGGCCTACACTCATAGCCTATTCAAATATTTAAACCAAACGTCAAATAACGTTAAATACATCTGAATGTATAAAGTTCAATTTAAATATTTAGAAATAAAACAATACATCAAGTAAACCCAATTTAACCCCATATTTAGAATTAAATGGCCACATATAAACTTATATTTAACTATTTACGATCAAACACAAAAAGTCCCGTCCAAATATTTAAAATGAAGTCTAAATATAGCGATTTTAATGAAATCCAAACAATTACTTCAAAACTGAATCCTAAAAATGGAAGTTTAAACTAAATATTTAGCTAGCCTTCATACTTACTAGATAAAATAGTTGAGAAGGATTTATACTTCCCTGTCTGCGTCAGTGCAGAGACTCAATGCCATAATGCGCCAGTTGCAAGGGCTCTCCGACGAGCTCGCAGAGTGACGGAGATTAGCGCAATTTTTAATTGTCCATTGAAAGAGACGGAGATCGCAAACTTGTGATTGGTCAGAATGCCGCTTCCTTTAAATTTGTCAACATCGCCGCCATTGCCCTGCTTGGATTGCTTTTTGCTGAAGGTATTTAGCAACAGACTTGGAACAGATTCAAGAACGCTTAGCGGAAAAAGTCTGACAATATGAAGGTTTATTCACCCGTAAGTGAAGTACAAAAGATACGGAGCAAGCGTTTTGTTTGTGGGCAGAAAGGATGAGAAATGTGGGTTTAGAGGTGCTGATCGCATGAAGAGGCGGAGGAGAAGGAGGGAAAAATTCATCCGTGCCAACACACCATCGTGGGCCAGATACGGGACTTTAATGGTGGCGGGATAACCCCAGAATAGCGCTACGCTCTCTGTTATCCTGGCGGAGGATTGCTTTGCGACACTCCCCAGCTGATGGAGCTGACGGAGAAGCATAAATCAGTCTCCACCCTGCCTTCATCTTGGTAGGTTACTTCAGTTCCACACCAGCCCAAGTCAAAATATTAGCTAAATATTTAGTTTGAAATCATCACATCAAGATTTCAGCTTTTCTTTCCGGAACTGCGCTGCTCTGGGTGGCTGCATGTTGGAGTAGCTCTGTTGACTATATGTAAGTTTTGCCTTTTCTTGGGCATTTTTTCTTCTAGTTTCTCAAGAAAAACTATATTTTTTGGACACTTCACTTTTCTGTTTCTGGTGCTGAGAAGCTTGGAGGATTTTTACTGCTATTTTTTAGCTTTTTTCACTTTTTGAGCATTTGTTATGATACGTAACCATGGCAACAAGCTGGTTTACCATCGGGAGCAGCTGATTAACATTGGAAAGGCTGAAATACCTCAACTGAAGCCACAAATCCCAAATGAGCTAAAACGCAAGAGGCGTGGATGCAGAGTGAGAGCAAAACGGAGACAGAGAAGGAGGAAATTCTCTTCACAAGACTGTCCGATAACGGAAGAGTGTCTTCAGTCAGAGGCTTCTTCAGTTTGGCTGCAACACTGACCGCTACTGGAGATCATTCCTGCCAACAGCCATTGTAATATACAATAACTCTTTGATGACTTGATTATTATTATTATTCTGAGCTACTACAGCAATCAATTTCCCTCTGGGATTAATAAAGTATTTATGAATTGAATTGAATTGAATTTAGACGCAACTTTATTTATTTCAGTTAGAAGTATGCTTGGGTTGCTTTTTGCTGAAGGAGATTCAGTCTCCACTAATTTTGATGATTTAAAAGAGACCAAATTAAGTGGTTACATTAACGTCCTGTAACAAAGCCAGAGTCAGTGCAGCTGTTTGGTTCTGCTCCAACACCGTGGGACCTGGATGAGGAGTGTGTATTTAGAGTCCTAGGTTAAAGTCTGGGATCCCTGTGAGACTGGATGACCCCAGGCCTTTAGGACACCAGTCAGTCACACGGCAATGACCGTCCAATCAATGTCTTAGTAAAGAGCAAATCCCACGGAGGTTCTCCGGGCTGCAGGGTAAAGCAACGCTACATAGACCAGCCAGCGGAGGTCCATCGGAGGGGGTAAAACGCAGATCCGGATGATCCACAAAGACTTTGGAGAATCTATTCTGGAACAGAGGAGACGAAAGTGGCACTTTTTGGATGGTTTATTGTTGCATCATCAGTCCAACACGGGGGCGGTCATGTGATGGTCTGGAGCTGCTATGGACCTGGACCCTCTTGCTGCAAATGATGGAACCATCCATTCTGCTAAAGGACTAAATTTCAGTCGGAGACTTTAGCCGTGTTCCCACTATGGGAGTACCAAGAAATTTCTGAGAGGGGGAAAAGTGAGCGGGAAGTATGATGGCTCGGTCGTCTCAGCCACTGTGCCTCCATAAAAAAACGCCCCTCTCAGGGTCTTGCTAAGATTTCAGGATATAGCAACCGTTTCGGCGGTGGGTGACGCCACTGATTAGCATCAAAAGGCTACATTGTAGCTCATCACCATCAGCGTGTGAATGTGTGTGTGTGTGTGTGTGTGTGAACTGATGAACGATACGCTGTAGTGTAAAGCACTTTGGAGTCCTCTGACTCTGAAAGGCGCTTTACAAGTGCGGGTCATTTATCATTTGTTGGCTTCAGAAACCGGCCATTTTACAAAGGCCGGCTGTTATCTATCATTTCCCTCTGAGTTACAACCAATCAGCAAGAGTTCACAAGTCCCGCCTGGCAAGGACGTAATTTTCACTTTAGAAGTGGGGGGGACACTGGGGGGGGGGGGGGGGGGGGGGGGACTGGCTTCAACACAGACGGTTGTTTTCCGCTTGGTCCTAGAGCTCAACCAGTGTCAATTTAATATAGCGTAATATTGTTTTTGGATGGTAAAAAGTGCAGGGGTCAAAACTTGACTTTGGAAAAAGTGGGGGGGGGACATGTCCCCCCCCCCCCCCCCCCCCCCCCCCAAAATTACGTCCATGCGGCGCCTGGTGTCTCTACCTGGCAATTTCTGAACACACACCCCAGTTCAGGTAGTCCGTTAATTCAGGAATGAACAGATGGTCCTTTCAGACATGCCTGGAGACATGCAGCAAAAGTCTGATAAAAGTACCTTCTGATAGTGAAAATGGGCCTATTTACTGACCCCCCCCCCCCCCCAAAAAAAAAGAAACAAGACAGAAATAAAACTCTTTAAGTAGACAAACAGGCACAAAGCTTCGTTTTTACATGTAAATGAAAGATATCTTTAGACATCTGTGGTGATTTTATTGATTTTATTTTCCTCTTATGGAAGCAGCAGCCATACGTTTCCATTACCGGCGTTTGGAAAAGCAATTACAAGCTTAAGTCTCGTCCAAGGAAGCCGGGCGCTCCTACCGGGAGTCAGACAAGTTCTTTTCAGGAGACCAGATCCACCACAGCTCGTTAGATGATGTTATTACAGCTGGTGAGGAGTGTGTAATAGAATATCTATCAGGAAGAGCAGTCTGATGTCGTTTCACTTTATTAAGCACCGTCAATTCATGATCCACAAGATGCACACGTGACCTGACCTGCTCAGCCAGACAAGTCGCTCAGCTAAACGGTGGAAGTCCCATCATCACTAAGCATTCAACACGTCCGACGTAAAAACACCACAAGGGTTCGGATATTAAATGAGCTTCGTCTGACGAGCTGAGCTAATTTTCCTGATTTTCTAATGCAATGAGTGTCAGCCCCATTAACAACACTCTGTGTGAGCCGTGCATCTTGACCCCTATTAAAGTCTTGTCCTGTGGACAGCAGATGGCAGACACACACACACACGCGCACACACACAAAGAGGAGGAGTGGCCATGGCAACAGTCTCATAATGGCTAGTGGTGTGTAGTGGAATCACTTGGCCTAATTTGTTAAGTACCACATCAGTATATCTAATTTATTCAATTTATTTTGTGCACAAAATGTGCCAAGAAGTAAATCAGGACGTGGACACGCTGACATGTTTTGTTGGGAGATGAACTGGTGGTTTAATGGTTATTATGGAAGGTTTCCCTTTCTTCTGCGCTACAGACGGAAAGAGTAATTTATTAAAAAACTAGATAAAAGTGTAGTTTTATTCATTCTAACACACGCTACATAGGAAGATTGTTTCGGTTATAGATAATAGTTTAGGACTCCTGTGGATGTAAGGAGGCTCTGTGGGAGGAAACTGGAGCTTCTCTGAAACACAAACCCTTCTGCAGTGAATAAAGTTGGTTTTTACAGATGCAAAAACCGTAAAGCAACAACCAAAGTGAAGCAGCATGAGTCAGCCTGCTTATATTTTCAGGAAAAACCTCTTCCTGTAGAGCAGATAGGCAATTAGCACCCAAAGAGCCGTCCCCCACAGGTTCTGCAGCAGCGGCTCCCAGTGACTTTCCTGGAAGTGCATCTCCCAGCTGAAGGGAAAGTAGAAACCAAGGAGAGAGTGGCCGACATACACGAGGATGGAATTTGTTCCTGCGGGGGGGAAGAGGGGAGATTTCTCTGAATCGGGACTCTCGTTTTCTGCTGCAGATCAACAATCCAGCTATCTGAGGGTCTCACTGTGCACATTTCTAAAGGTTTCCCAAAGAAGCTCAAATTTTGGGCTTTTCAAGAGAAATCTAGAGGCTTGAAGCAAATTAAAGGCTTTATTCTCCTCCTTTTGTCTTAGTCCATCGTATGTGAGGGACTTGGACCACATTTGAATTTCATTTCAAATATTTTAACGACGTTTCACAGACGGTACCTGGGTATAAAAAGGGTTGTCCGCCCCACCAGCCCTTGACGTCAATGATGAAGTACATGACTCCGAGCAACAGGAAAGAGAATGAGCCCATACACAACACGTAGGACAACGACCTGGAGGAAAAGATCATTAATAAATCTTAATAAAATAACATCCTGTCCACATCCTGCCAGCTTGTTGTGAACACCAGTTTATCCACAAAGAACCAGTTCCAAAGGTCTTCTCAGGAGACTGGTACCCAAACTGGTCCAGTTCTTATCCAGATAGTATGCAGTCCAGTTCAGAACAAACATTTAACGGTGTCCATCTGAGCAAGCACAGTGGCCGGCGACAACGGTAAAGAAAACTTCCTTTTAACGGGAATAATCAGGAAAATCCAGGATCACTGGGAATGAAGCTTGATCAGAAGCTCTTAGAATGACAAGAGCTACGTCTCATGAAGCCACGCTTCTATGTTTTATATCATTTGGTCAGATGTTTGTTTCCAGAGAGTGAATGTGTGTGTGCATGGGTAAATGACTGTGTTGTAAAGTGCCTTGGGGGGCTCTAGGACTCCAGAAGGAGCTACATCAAATACAGGCCATCAATGGTTACTGAAGCAGACGCAGGCAATGAAGGCTTTTATTGACAAATACACACGTTTATGCAAATGACCTGCATAAAAAATGTGGATCCTCATTTCCCAGACCATTAAAGTTCACCCCAGTCCAGATCCTGATCCATGGAGCTCATTCCTTCATCGTTATTGTTCATTTTATTTGTGGCAGCCGTAGCTCAGGAGGTGGCGCGGATTGTTTCGTGATCGGAGGGTCGTGGGTTTGATTCCAGCTCCCACCAGTGGTATTCTGCTATTGTATCCTTGGGTAAGACGCTTCACCTGACTTGGCTGTGTTGGTGGTGGTCAGAAAGGCCGATGTTACGAAATGGCAGCCTCGCCTCTGCCAGACTGCCCCGGGGCGGCTGTGGCGACCATCACCAGCAGTGAGAATGTGAGAGTGCATGAATAATGGAAAGAGCTTCGGGTGCCTTGAAAAGCTCTAGATAAATCCAATCCATTATTATTATTACCATCATTACTATTATTATTATTATTATTATTATTATTATTATTATTACTACTACTACTACCAGTATTATTATTATCATTACCAGTATTCATTACCAGTATTATTATTATTATAACTATTACCATTATTATTATTTTAATTATTATTGTTTCTACTATTATTATTATCATCATTACTATTATTACTATTACAATAACTATTATTATTATTATTATGTTTTTACTATTATTATTACTATCATCATTACTATTATTACTATTACCATAACTATTATTATTATGTTTTTACTATAATAATGATAATAATAATAATAATAATAATAATAATTATTATTATTATTATCATCATTACCAGTATTATTATTACTATTACTATTATTACCATTACCATTATTAATATTAATATTATTATTATGTTTTTTACTATTATAATTATAATAATAATTATTATTATTATTATCATCACCAGTATTACTATTACTATTAGTAATTATTACTACTATTAGAGTCTGTCAGAATTTGTGGGTTCTTGTTTCTGTCTTAAGTTACTAGTGAGATTAAGGTCTGGAGAGCTTCCTGGACCTGAACCCAACATGTTTATGCTTCTGACTCGGTGCTCCATCATGCTGGAGAAAAATGTTTGTCACCCACCTGTCGTTCCATGGGTAGAGGAGTTCCTCTGGGAGGATGTTTTGGTACCATTCTTAGTTCGTGGCTGTTCTGAGGATAAACTGCGAGTGTGTCCACTCCTGTGGCTGAGAAGCACCGCCCAAGACACAGGGTGCTCATACTTTCTTCTCCAGATTATCAGAAAGAGGATTCATCAGATAAAATTACTTCTCCAGTTCTCAGTATCCTGATCCTTAAGCGGAACATCAATCTGTCTCTGATGTTTTTTTTTTTGGAGAGGCGGATATTTTTGCCACCCTTCTGGACACCAGACCTTCCTCCGAACATCTTCTCTTCACTGATCTGCAGGTGCCCTCACACCTGCTTGCTGCCAACCCTGAGCAGCTCTGCACAGGCGGCGCAGAAGTCGGACTTTATAATTTACAGCCAGCTACTTCTTCTGGAGTTTAAGCAAACTGCCATCATAAAACCTGAGGCAGCAACATTTGTGGCAATTAATAAAAGCAGCATTTGGCCACAGCTGTGCACTTCAGTCCATCCATCCTCTTCTGGAGACCAACACAAAGATCTGTAACCAGTGTTGCCAGAAGTATCAGAATCCAAACCGCCCAATCCAGCAGCGCTACCTGGATCAGGACCAGCTGTGAATCCCTACCACGAGCCCGGTGGAGCCGTGCCAGCCCCCCGTGTCCCTGTCGGTTTCTAAGTGCAAAAATGTTTGATGAAAAACAATCTAATGCAAAACGGCCGCCTCACTGCAGTGAGCTTTTTTTTTTTTAATGTCAGCTGAATTGGGGCCAAAAAAGGACTCTTGCCCGGCAGTTAATTACCTCTAGACATCCAGGCAGGGACTCGCACTCAAGAGCTCAATAACCTGCGCATGATGAACAGCCTATAAAAGCCAGACAGGTGCAGTAATAGCAAGGGATGAGCATGGCATTAGCCGGGTGGCCCCTGAGGAGTGTTGGGAGGAATTTGCTTACACATCACAGATGTAATGGTGTTCTTCCTGCTGCAACCATTAAATGATTCACATCATTTTAAAGGGAATGCGGAGGGGTAAAAACATGGGGTAGTTTAGGACAGGGCTTTTCAGTTCCGGGCCTCCAGGACCGGTGTCCACCATGTTTTGGTTTCAACCCTGCTTCACCACACCTAATTTCAATTAACAGGTGATTAACATGCTGCTGCAGAGCCTGATGAGCTACTTTGGTGTGTTGCACAAGAGAAACCACTAAAACGTGCTGGATACCGGTCCTCGAGGCCTGGAAATGAATAGCCCTGGTTTAGGAGTTACTTTCCTCAGAGCTGGTAAAACACTCAAAGTTCTGGGCTGGAGAAGATGCAGGATTCTGTCCTGCTGGAGGAGCGATGGTGTTGGGCACTTCACCCCTCCAGCAGCTAGAGTGATCACTTACAGTCACAGCTGCCGTTAGAGGTACGTAAACATGTGTTTTAGCAGCCTTGATTTGTGCCTATTGGAAGCCCATCCTTTTCTTTCGTGAGGAGAAGTGGCTGGATTTAGAGGGTCCGAAAGCACTTACCAAAGATTTTTATTGACAGGTATAAATCCTTCGTCTCGCGTGCACTTAGAGAGGACGGCTGCAGAGGCTCCCTGAGGGCAGAAATGAAACAGATTTCAAATCGATGGAGTGCGATAAAGCGATTCGCGTCATGCAACTGAAATGTGAGAAAACAGATTCCTGCAGATTAACCAACGGCGGCCGTAGCTAATTAATATTAAGAGACGAAAAACTTCTCTAAATCAGGCAGTTTTACAGACACGGAGCTGACATCTGAAGCGGTAGTAGCTGAGACTCATTCACAACATTTAGAGATTACCGGACATGCAAGATTTATGAATTGACTTTTGCCGTTAAAACAGCTTCGTATCTCTGGAGTCAGCTCTGTTAGCAAAATATCTCACAACCTACTAGATGCATTTTCGACAAAACTCATCTACATCCCATCAGCTTTTCCCAGTTCAAGCCAACTAACATTAGAAAAATACAAAATTAGCTGCAACGCGTTGACTTTTACAGATAGGTGGCTAAACTTTGGTGCCATAGTGGTTTGGATGGAAAGTTTCGGATGAAAACTAAAATGTTATGTTTATCAGTCTTCTGATTAGTCAGTGCCACGTTGTCCCAAGTCGGGGGCCGCTGTTGCATTTCTAGCCTTAAGGATCCAGATGGAGCATCAGGATTGGTGCCTTCATCAGAAACCTGCCAAATCCAGTCCCACACTTGTCTACTGCCCTCTGGTGGAGGATAAATGATAAATGACCCGCACTTGTATAGTGCCTCTCAGAGTAAGGACTCCAAAGTGCTTTACACTACAGTGTATCATTCATCCATTCACACACACATTCACACACTGGTGGGGATGAGAGGCGAGGCTGCCGAGCACAGGCGCCACCGGACCCTCCGACAACCACCAACAGGCAAGGTGGGTTAAATGTCTTGCCCAAGGACACAACAGCAGAATTCTCTGTCCACAGCCGGGATCGAACCTGCAACCTTCCGATTACTGGACAACCCGCTCAACCTGTTGAGCTACTGCTTGCTACGGCAAGAGCCTATTTTATTTCTCAACATCAAAGGTATCGGTCATTAGGCTTGTTTCCACTATGGGACCTTCCCAGCATGCGTGTGACTCCATGTCACTGGGCCGGCCAAAAAGGTCCGCTTTCTGGTTTGCTTCAGCGACCAACCGTGCCCCTGAACTGGGGCATGGACTTGGCAAGGGTCCAGTAGAGTCACGCTGATTAGGAAGTGATCTTGCCAGACAACGCCAAAACAACCAGCGTTTGTAAAATTGGAAGAGTTATTGGTGAAGCAGAACAGAAGGAAAAGAAAACACGCATGATTGACGTTTCTTTTCAAATCGCAGTTTTAAGACTCCCAGAGCTATAAAATGTGGCAGAAATCCCGCCACGACGCCGTACTTTACGCTGTTTTGGGTTCTCATACAGAGCACCGTAAAAAACAGGGATTCTTTTGGTCACTGAATGCTGGTTTTTACATCACACCACCACCCTTCTTGCCCCGTCTTGAACGGATGAAATTACGACGTGTTTTTACAGAATGAAACTTTTCCCGTTTTTCCTGTGACCTTCCCCCTCCCAGAAATTTCCCAGAACTCCTAAATGCTTCTTTTTTTGTTTTTTTCCATATAATTTGGTGGTTTTTTGTTGACTTGTACCATTTTGCTTGTTTTAATGTAGGTTTTGTGTCAGATTTAGTAAACAAGTAAAAATTACTTGTATAAAGGGGTAGGGATATATAAGTTTCCACTTCAGCCTACTCCTTTTCAAACACAGAAGGGATGATATGTATTTTTCTGTTTGTGGTACTTTTTAAAAAATTATGTATGTTTTCTTTGTTTGAAATAAACTAAACTAATAGTCAAAAAATGACAAGATCTTTAATTTCTCTCAGTGTTTATTTATTCACCACCCAGAGAAACGTGCATCGAGTCTGATGAGCGATGCATCGCCCACAGGTTTCATCTTCTCATCTATTTACCTTTACATGTGATTTAGGTTCACGGAGGAACGTTTTGTGCACCCGGAGCTGTGGATCAGAACTCAGACACGCTCGTTATGTGGATATCCATCATGTGTATAGATGACAAAATCAATGGTGTGGAAATAGTCTAGCTGAGGCTGGATCGAGTCTCCGGGCTATGCGGGATGTGGGATGGGGCTGGTATGTGGGGCAAATCGCTCAATTTCAATCTCACTCGCCAGGAGTCTGATCGTTGAACTTTAATTAACTGAGGCTGTTGTTTGTTATGAAGATGCATGGCTGCCCTGATGCCTTTTAGCCTGGAGAATTCAACAAACAGAAAAACTAAACTTAGCGTCTGAAAAGCCTCTGCTTCTTTGTGGAACGTAAGCAGGATCCTGCGGTTCAGCGTTTGGGTCGTACAGCCCTCCCAAATCTTATCAATGTCGAAAACACACGTCCAGAACACGAGGCAGCCGAACTCGGCTTCCGATGTGAGAAAAAAAGAAGTCTATCAAGAGCCGGCAGCTAAAATTACATTTGTTTTATGCGATGGAAGGAAGTCGAGCAAAGCGAACAGATCTAGCACCGGGAATCAAAGCAGGCTGAAACACTCGGGTGGGCTGATGCTTTCCTTCTTCTGTGGTTTTCACTTACGAATTCAATGATGGGGAAAAAAATAACGCTCTGCTCTATCTGCTTCTTCAGTCTGTCGAGGAGGGCTTCACTTCATCCGGAAACTTCTAGAAATCCGTAAGGTCCTTTTCAAATTATTTAGACATGAGATGACTAAAAGAGGAGTTTTAGCAGTCAGCTGTTTTTGGTTTTAGAGCAACATTAATGCAACTCAGAGATCCGACCATGGACGTAATTTGGGGGGGGGGGGGGGGGGGGGACATGTCCCCCCCACTTTTTCCAAAGTCATGTTTTGACCCCTGCACTTTTTACCATCCAAAAACAATATTACACTATATTAAATTGACACTAGTTGAGCTCTAGGACCAAACAGAAAACAACCGTTAGTGTTGAAGCCTGTTTCCTATTAGAGCATACTGTAAAGATACCCCCCACCCCGTGTCCCCCCCACTTCCAAAGTGAAAATTTCGTCCATGGATCCGACGTTAAGTTTTATGTCGGCAGCAGCGGCACAATCCCTCTGTAACAGATTTGAATTAAACTGGCATTTTTTAAAAGTAAACTGGGTTCAATTAGTAACAAAGTCGCTTGTTTTATTTATTGAGGAATTGAAAGTCTTCCTCTAGCCGGGTCTTTATGCAAAAATGACAAACATGGATTCTAACAGGCGCCACAATGCTGAGGAAATTTAATTCATGTTGATTTTCAATTTCAGTTCACCAGGACTTTTATTGATCCTCCAATAAACATGATAGTGAACATGTAGCCGAGTTAAATCATGTCCGTGTGGGGTTAACTGGCAACAGCTGTAAAACAACAAAACCTTGTATTTATTTGCTTCCCTGTGTGTGTGTTCGTCAAGGAGACGCCAAATGGATCTAATTTATTTCACCTGCTTTCCGTAAGTCTCCGTGCAATGATGATCAATACGATCCAACACCAGGAGACAGAAAGCATTTGTCATTCAGGAATGGAGGGCTGTAGCAGTTTCACGGGAAGAAACTGCAATAATTGGGTCCTTCTGATTTCATTTGTGGGATTTAAAAAGGGAAGAAATGTCAAATTTAAAGAGCAAGTCACCCTCAAATCTACTTAATTTTTCTGATAAACTATATAAATGAGTGTCTAATCGTGCTGCAGACACGTGTCGTCAATAGTTTTGCACTTTAGTGCGTTTTAGTTAAAATGTGAATTTTCTGCCTAAAACTGTCAGTGTTGTGCCGTTGTCAGGTAAAAACTCTGCACTGCAGTTGAATTTAAATCAGCCATCGCTATTGGCTAAGAGGTACCCTAGAATGTTAGCTGGTACCATATGATGTCACAATGTCGTTGTGAGCCTGCGTGTGTGTGTGTGTGTGTATTTGTTAGTGGCTCCGCCCTCTCGGTCTGCTAGGCAACAGCATTTGTTGCATTTTTCAAACAGGAAGTGGGAGTGGAGTAATACTCTGGTAGGGGGTGACTTGCTCTTTAAGGAAGTTCAGTCCAACAACATTTAAAGAGCAAGTCACCCCTTACAAGAAGCGTACTTCACTCCCACTTCATGTTTGAAAAATGCAACAAATGCTGTTGCTTGGCAGAGCGAGAGGGCGGAGCCGCTAACAAATACGCACACACAGGCTCACAATGGCATTATGACATCATAATGTACTAGATGACATCATGGTATACCTCTTAGCCAATAGCGGTGGCAGATTTAAATTCAGATACAGTGCAGAATTTTCCCTGACGACGGCGCAACACTGGCAGTTGTAGGCAGATTATTTGAATTTTAACCAAGATGCACTGAGCTGCCAAATTATTGACCACACGTGTCTGCAGCACGACTAGACACTCGTTTATGTAGTTTATCAGCAAAAAAAAAAAGTGATTTGGGGGTGACTTGCTCTTTAAGATATTCCCCATTGAATGGTTCTAATGTCTTAAAGATTCAAGTTCATTTGTTTATGTAACACACTAGCAAAGGTTTTTAGTATAAACTAATGCCCTGTGAGTTGATCTTTGTGGGAATGAAGCTCTGGTGCTTCTGTTTCAGGAACTAGAAGTGAGCCACATCAGAGTTGAGCTTCTGATGGCAGGATTTGGAGTCTTATTTCCTGATATTTGGATATCTCACTTCTTATTGGCTAACAGTAACGTGACTATCATTGACTCGGTTTGCTCTGCGGCATTAATGTTTTATCTCCAGTAATGAAACAAGCCTGGAGGAGCTTCTGTCATGTTATGGAGTTGCAATGCTAACAGTTAGCTTCTACTAGCTACTATATTCTACTGAATATTCCTTCTGACATAAGAAAAAGATGTTGCAACCCCACCGCTCTGCGTTTGCATTCTGGGAATGTCACAAATGTCTAATTCAAGCTTGATAAATCCCAGATCAAAGAAGCTCTTGGGTACCCTGTTGGGAAAACCAGCAGCATAGCTGGTTACCAGCATATGTTGTGCTTTGATGATGGTTTAGTTGATGGACCAGCATGCAATGCTCCAGTATGCTGGTCCAGCATACCAGCACCAACACACAATGTATGCTGGTAACCAGCTATCCTGGTTTTACCAGCAAGGTATAGTTCCCACTTTCCCAGAATGCACTGCTGACCGGAACATCTCATGTCTTATCTTTACTTATCTGTTACATTTTTTGACCAAAAAGACCCATTTACATTAAAAGCGGTCAAAACTTTATTTAAAAATGTAATCATGCACGTTGAAAATAAAGCCCATTAAAGTCCCAATAGTCATCATCACACAATGAAATTACATCTCCACGTTTGACCCATCCCCCTGGGGAGCGGTGAGCTGCAGCAGCGGCTGCGCTCGGGAACTTTTTGGTGGTTTAACCCCCCAATCCATTCCCTTAGAGCTGAATGTCCAGCAGGGAGCCATTGGGTCCCGTTTTTAACGTCTTTGGTATGACTCCCCCGATTTCCCATCCCAGGGAAGACACTCTACCACGCCACTTACGGCTTACGGCTGCATTTGTGTGTTTTAAACACATTTACTCAAGTTGCTCCAGATGCAACCTTAAAGAGATAGCACACCTAAAATGTCAACACCTAATCAAAAACATCGAGGTTTTCTACGCAGCAGACGGCTGGACATCCAAAGCTGTTCACACGTGTCCTGATTTTCCCTCCAGCTTGGTGTCTTTTCTCCCTCCAGCACAGTGGGATTTCAAAGTCCGGCTGATGAAGACAGCTCCTCCAGCTCCATCATCACTCCCAGCCACAGGAGCGACAGACAACAGCCCTGCTGACCTTGCTTTTATCAACAAAACAACCTTCTGCAGCATCCACGGGAACACGCACATCAATATTTGCCAAATGCAGATCTTGGCTGCTTGGCTTGGCCGTGTTCTAGTTTTGTAAAAAGCAGAATAGCAGCTTCCTGTTGAAGGTTTGGAAACACAAAACAAGCCATGTCATGCAACACCGGCCTTCTCCCTGGAGGGCGCAGTACCCTTCTAATATGTGAAACAGGGGCCAGCTTGGTGCTTCTTGTGCTCTGAGACCACCAAGAAAGGTCAGACCGCTCTGACAGCTATCCAAACAGGTTTCACACGTTATCCTGAATTTAAAGTCTTGATCTGATTTAAGAAACCAAAACCGATGGAAAACATCAGAGCCCTGCATGTCCATGTGCATCCCCTGAGGCACTGGATATCCACGTCGTCCCGGAAACACCCGCCACACATGGATGTTGTTTAACCGCGCTGAGATCACACACGTGTGCGCCAAGTCCTGCTAATGAGTCGCCTTGGCCCGGCTGGCCAGTAAACACCCAAACCATAAGGGTGTCATGATTTGATTTTTGGGGTTGCTTATGAGTCGGGACGCTCCACATACCAGGATGACGGCCCACAGCAGGTAGCGACAGAGGCAGTGGAGGGTTTTTCTTTTGTAGAAAATGATAATTTTCCCCGCCTGCAGAGAAAAACACAGACAGCACAACGCTTTGATGAGTACAGTCAACAGGAAACGCCACATCAACTGAAACACCCGCCGTTTGGACGCTGGTAACCAAATAGTCCTGGGACGTGGCTCTTCCATAAAAGGGTCCCCCTCTGATGCGGCGGTCACATTTTGTCCAACGCCGTTGAGCCAGATGCGGTGTGCAAGCCGACTGATTAATTTGGTGATGATGAATACGTTTCAGCTGAGAACATTAGCATGAACAAACACAGAGGAGGGCGGCGGACACCTGGCGTGTCATCTAAGACCTGCTGACTGAAGGGCTCAGAGCAAAGCGCCCACCGGGAATTAAGCAATGCGGCAAAGTAAGTTCCCACAGCACAGATCGGAATGAGTCCTGGGTCTAAAGACCAAAGGCTCTCTCTGCTCCTTCAGACGAGCTGGTGTCAATAAACCAGGACAGCTGCACACGCCTAGTTTTAACTCTCACTGAAGCGTGGTCTACTCGTCTCTTATATGAGTTTTTAATGATTTATTACATAAAAATCCCTGTCTTGTGAACATTTTCCGTGTGTATTAAGCTACAGAGCAGCTGTGCATGAAGAAGCATCTTGTCTTCGGCTAATTAAGGACATGAGGGATTTTCATGAATGAATGAGGTTTACATTAATTAGAAAGAAATGTGAATGAGGATGAACATTTGGGTGCTTTGATGTTTTATTAGAAAAACCGAATATTTTTTTAAAACTTAAAAGATCTTGGTCACAACAAAATAACTCAACAGGAGAAGAGTTGGGTCCTCTACAGAGGGCTGTGTAACACTGGTATGTCTAATTTAGGATGTTTTAGGGTTGTTTATTATAAAAAATGGGCTGCAAAGTGTTGCAGGTGGTTGGCACTGTTGCTAAGGTGGTCCCAGGTTCACATCCCAGCCTGGGGTCTCTCTGCATGGAGTTTGCATGTTCTCCCTGTGCATGCGCGAGATCTTTCCAGAGACTTCGGCTTCCTCCCACAGTCCACAGACAGGACTGCCGGGCTCATTGGTCTCTAAATTGTCCTTAGGTGTCAGTGTGTTTAAGCATGGTTTGTCCTGTGATGGACTAACCCTAACCTGTCCAGGGTGTACCCCGCCTCGTTGAGTGAAGACTGCTGGAGATAGGCATCAGCCCCCCATGACCCTGCGTGGATTAGCAGGTTCAGAATTCGCATGGATGGAAGGATTCAAAAACAAAGATTTTTGGGCTAGGGTCTGGTTTGATCCAATGTAGCGCTTAAATTTTTTTTTTTTACGTAAAAATGTATTGAAATTATAATAATCATGGCTATAATACGAACAACAACAATAAAAGTTTACTTTAACCTCCTGCGAGCCAATTTTCACTCTGTGTAGTTGGACCTCATTAGCACAAAATTTCTATTGGTTCAAAATGAATAAAATATTGACAAATGTCCTAAAATAAATAACAAAAACATTTTTTGAAAGGGATTACTCAAAATTAAAGCTGAAATCTGGACGTTTTTATCCCGACGACACCATCTCGAGGCTGAAAAATGTATCGCGCCTTAAACTATTCTCACCACTTCTGTATTTATGGACAAAAGCAAGGGCCCTCGTTTGTGAATGCGCTCCAGCAAAAACACATTATTTAGTTATGTATTTTAAAGGCTTGATTATCTAAGAGAAATGTGGCCAACGCTGCATCCGTCGAGGTACGTCCTCAAACGCTCACGTGCGCTCTGACCGTACGTAAGAGGATGTCTAACGCTATTGGTGAATGCTGAAACAGCAGTTCATTCAAATTGCACAGGGAACGGGCTCATTGCTTTCATTCCATCACAGTACAGAGACTAAAGAATAAGAGAACTCAGGGATTCAGGAGACTTGGCTGCTAACTGAGGAGAAATAAATGATCCAGCTCACCTGCATCCCCAGAAATCCCATAACAACAGAATTTATTGTACCCAGAACCCCCTCTGGGTCAAAGGGCTGCACGGTGCGATACAGTCCCTGCAATAATGGAAACAAGTCTGTAAAAAAAACACGTTTTTTTTACAAATGAAGCTATGAAAACAAATCTTACTTTGCAGGTGGGGTATCTGTACATGTTGTCACCAAACATCCACCTATCGATGTATCCTGCTGCACCCCCGGTGCAGTTTGGGTAACGTCCACCATCACCGATTCCACCGGCTCCCAAATAACCGCTGATGACGATAAACACAAGGGTCAGAATTACAAAATTACATCAAATATACAACAAAGTTAAGGTAAGTGGAGGTTCTGCCAATAAAACCTGTCGTCAAAAGAAAGTGTTCAGCCATTTTGAATTCTGTATAAAAGTTCTAAATCAATATCAGCTTTGGGAACAACCTGAGTTTAGAGAAACAGAGACCGTTTATCAATACTCAATGATGCTGGTATGTTCTTGTGTACAAGACAATTATGTTCTCGGCAAGGACACCAAAAAGTCTGCTCTACCGAGTACGGGAGGATGAGGACGGCATTTGGACCAGAACCGTACTCCGTTGTGTTATGGCAACAAGCACTGCTTGTTTCTAGCTAGGGCACACTTGATATAAAAATGAAAGTCTAGTTTGTTCCTTATTTAATAAAATAACAGCAAAAACGTATTATTAGTATTATATTTGGTACACTTTTGATCAAAAATGATAAAATATCAGCGGTTTCCGCTGTTAAACGAATAAAAAAATGAATAAAAATTAATTTTTCATCAAAACAGAAGTACTCTGCTTTTATTTTGATAGCGGGTTAGCTAACTAGCATTTTGAGGGATTGTGAAAAGTAAAACCCAAATACACACAGCAAATTGTACAGGTACCAATTATTTACAACAATAGACAACGTAATATTTATTTGTATTTCTGATATAAACTCTAGATTTCTCCTCTGGTGTTCGGAGTATAACGGTTGCGACGCAATGCATTATGGGAAACTGCTGTCCCAAGTCCGCAAGAGGATGCATTGATGCGTTCTTGTTACAGTGGGCGGAGCAAGTACACATCCGGGGACTTTGTGAAAACTTGTCATGATGCATACTTAGGACTGATGACGTTTCACGAGGACATAAGTACACAAGTACAGACAAGTATGCATGGCCAGAATCAGCTGGATGTGACATCATCATTTACGTGGAATTCTGTTTATAAACAGTCCAATAAATGGTTTAGAAAAATGGGAGACTGGAGCATTTTAGGAGGGTTCCCAATTCCAAATCCGTATTAGTATCAACATAGAAGTATAGTATAGTAAAGTACTTTATAGTAAGTATATTTACTCAAACTGCAATGGCATTTATGCAAACGGAACGGTTTTGAGATGGCAGCAAAAGATTTTGGCCTTGCCTGAGCTCAGACTAGCCATTAGCGCATCAGTCCTGAAGGTAGTTTTCTAACTTTTGCAAAGAAACACACAAAATTCCTTTTTAAAATGTCTTTTTTAACCCTGTTACTCAAATGTAAGAGAAAGCATAAAAACATAAAGGCTAGATGGAGAACTCAGAATTCTGAATCCAATGTTGGTCAAGCTAACAAAGAAATGAGGAAACCGCACAAAAACAAAAGACCCAGAGCGAGGAAGAAGGATCCTCTTCCTCCTATTGCACTTGATAGACTCAGACCGGCTCATTAAGCTATAAGAAGCATCCAACACAAGCCCGTAAATCACTGCAGGTCACCACACCTGCAGCACCAGGTGCACACTAGCACCAAACAGACGGGCTCGTTTAGTTAATGTGAGGTTTGTTGGGACTTACGTGGGGCAGTCGGGTACGGGCATGAGGAGAGTGATGCAGAGCCACAGCATCTCCAGCACGATGATGACCAGCCACTGGGGCCAATAGAGACAAATGTCATGAGCCGAGTTCCTCCAGTGGAACTGCAAACACAATCAGGCAACATGCAAACTCTCTTTTATTCACATTTATAATGATAAACTTAAAGATTTATTACATTTTTAAATATTCCAGAACTGTTTTAATGAACCATTTTCAGGCTTTTGTGTTTTTCTACTAGGAATCGATGATAATGTAAAGCTTAACCTCTGGATAACCGTCTGGCTAAAGTTGCACGGTAGTTGTACTTTGGTTCATCTTTTAAATGAAACATCCAAAATTTTATTCCTGCTCATTTCAGGCAGACACAGAACCACACAGGAAACAGGCTGAATGAATAAAAGAAGGAAGAGCATTTTCCTGCCTCAACACAACAAAAAGGAGCTCTAGAAGAATGATTCTGCACCAAACAAAAGCAGAGCCTTTGCCTCACTTTAGATGGATAAAACAAACACCCACAGGTAAGATGACGCTGTAGGTATGTGAAAACGTAACAGATTGACAGGCAAACCACTAGTTCTAAAAATAAAGTTTATACTTTGGGTTTATCCCAAGGTAATGGCAAAGTTTGTCATTTTTATCATTTTCATCATCTTTTTAGTTGAATCCTGGCAAGTTTATAAGTTTGACCATTTTAATTATTTAGCTTTATGTTAGCTTGCCAACATGCAAGAATAAGATGGTAAAAAGGACAAATCTGGGCCCATCTGATGTTTGTGAGTGAGCTGTTAGAAAACGGTCTGATGCCGCTGGCTTGGATAATTAAATTGTGTGCGAATGCGCCGTCTCAGACCGATTCGCTCTATTGTCTGTTTTCTCTTTGTGTGTTTGAACTGATGAAAGTGAACTTGACAGAAGTGCTCACCGCTCTCTCTGGGATTTCTGTCTGGCCCCAGAAAGTCTGCAGGAGAGACAGAACAAAGTAGGTGAAGCCCAGACGCTGCAGCACTCCAGGGATCCTTAGCCAGGACCAGGACACTGGGACCAATCAGCAAGACACAGTGTAAATGCTTACAACAGCACACACTACTCGCTTTTATATGAAAAATACTGCAAGAAATTCCCATTCACACACAGACATTTTCCTCTGATGTTCTGATGATCAGAGAAAAATAAGAATATTTTTTTCCTATGGGAGGCTGAGAAACGTGATGTATGGAGCTCCAATTGGAAAATAAGATTTACCAGCTACAATTGGCTCCTCCTGCCATAATACCCAAGAGTCACAAGCATGGATGATTCAGTGTTCCTTTCTAATTTGGCTCTTTACTATAATAACATATTCGTGGGTAAACTGATTAAACTTCATTTTAAATATTTAGATTTAAGTTTAAATGTTAACTATTTCCGCTAATATTTCAGTGTAGCTATCAGTTTAAACATATCAATAGTTTAAAACTGGATTGTCTATATTTAGATTTCGTCATCTTCCTCCGCTTATCCGGGTCCGGGTCGCGGGGGCAGCATCCCAACTAGGGAGCTCCAGACCGTCCTCTCCCCAGCCTTCTCCACCAGCTCCTCCGGCAGGACCCCAAGGCGTTCCCGGACCAGATTGGAGATGTAACCTCTCCAACGTGTCCTGGGTCGACCCGGGGGCCTCCTGCCGGCAGGACATGCCCGAAACACCTCCCCGGGGAGGCATCCAGGAGGCATCCTGACCAGATGCCCAAACCACCTCAACTGGCTCCTTTCGATCCGGAGGAGCAGCGGTTCTACTCCGAGTCCCTCCCGAATGTCTGAGCTCCTCACCCTATCTCTAAGGCTGAGCCCGGCCACCCTATGGAGGAAACTCATTTCGGCCGCTTGTATCCGCGATCTCGTTCTTTCGGTCATTACCCAAAGCTCATGACCATAGGTGAGGATTGGGACGTAGATCGACCGGTAAATCGAGAGCCTGGCTTTCTGGCTCAGCTCCCTCTTCACCACGACAGATCGGCTCAGCGTCCGCATCACTGCAGACCAAGACCAAGATACTCAAACTCCTCAACTTGAGGTAGGACCTCTCCCCCGACCCGGAGTTGGCAAGCCACCCTTTTCCGGTCGAGAACCATGGTCTCAGATTTGGAGGTGCTGATCCTCATCCCAGCCGCTTCACACTCGGCTGCGAACCTACCCAGCAAGAGCTGAAGGTCAGAGCTGGATGAAGCTACGAGGACCAAATCATCCGCAAAAAGCAGAGACGAGATTCTCCTGCCACCAAACTCGACACACTCCACACCACGGCTGCACCTAGAAATTCTGTCCATAAAGGTAATGAACAGAACCGGTGACAAAGGGCAGCCCTGGCGGAGTCCAACCCAACTTACTACCAGCTATGTGGACCTAACTCACGCTCCTCTGGTAAAGGGACTGAATGGCCCTTAACAGAAAGCCACCCACCCCATACTCCTGGAGCGTCCCCCACAGGGTGCCCCTGGGGACACGGTCATAAGCCTTCTCCAAATCCACAAAGCACATGTGGATTGGTTGGGCAAACTCCCATGCCCCCTCCATCACCCTTGCAAGGGTATAGAGCTGGTCCACAGTTCCACGGCCAGGACGAAAACCACATTGCTCCTCCTCAATCTGAGATTCAACTATCGATCGGACCCTCCTCTCCAGTACCTTGGAGTAGACCTTTCCAGGGAGGCTGAGGAGTGTGATCCCCCTATAGTTGGAACACACCCTCAGGTCACCCTTCTTAAAGATGGGGACCACCACCCCGGCCTGTCACTCCACAGGAACTGTCCCCGATGACCACGCAATGTTGCAGAGACGTGTCAACCATGACAGCCCTACAACATCCATAGCCTTGAGATACCCAGGACGAACCTTATCCGCCCCCGGGGCTCCGCCGCTGTGTAGTTGTTTGACTACCTCAGCAACTTCTGCCCCCGAGATTGGACAGTTCATCCCCAGGTCTCCCGGCTCTGGTTCCTCCTCGGAATGCGCATAGGTGGGATTGAGGAGCTCCTCAAAATATTCCTTCCACCATCCGACTATAGCCCCAGTTGACGTCAGCAGCTCCCCATCCCCACTGTAAACAGTGTGAGCGAGTTGCTGCCTTTCTCTCCTGAGGCGCCGGACAGTTTGCCAGAACCTCTTTGGAGCCGATCGATAGTCTTTCTCCATAGCCTCACCAAACTCCTCCCACGCCCGAGATTTTGCCTCGGCAACTGCCACTGCTGCACCCCGCTTGGCTATCCGGTACCTGTCTGCTGCCTTCGGAGACCCACAGATCAGCCACGCCCTGTAGGCCTCCTTCTTCAGCCTGACGGCTCTCCGAACCTCTGGTGTCCACCAGCGGGTACGGGGGTTGCCACCACGACTGACACGGGCCACCTTACGACCACAGCTAGCAACAGCCGCCTCGACAATCGCAGAGTGGAACAAGGCCCACTCTGAGTCAATGTCCCCCACTGCTCTCGGGACACGGTCAAAGCTCTGCCGGAGGTGGGAGTTGAAGACCGTCTTGACAGGTTCTTCTGCCAGGCGTTCCCAGCAGACCCTCACAATGCGTTTGGGTCTGCCAGGTCTACGCGGCATGTTCCCTTGCCATCTGATCCAACTCACCACCAGGTGGTGATCAGTTGACAGCTCCGCTCCTCTCTTCACTCGGGTGTCCAAAACATACGGCCGCAGGTAAGATGATATGACTACAAAGCCTATAGTCGACCTGCGACCTAGGCTGCCCTGGTACCAAGTGTACCGGTGGGCATCCTTATGTTCGAACATGGTGTTCGTTATGGCCAAACTGCGGCTTGCACAGCAGTCCAATAACAAAACACCACTCGAGTTCAGGTCAGGTGGGCCGTTCCTTCCAATCACACCCCTCCAGGTCAAGCTGTCATTGACCATGTGAGCATTGAAGTCCCCCAGCAGGACAATGGAGTCCCCTGATGGAGCACTATCTAGCACTCGTCCCAGTGACTCCAAAAAGGGTGGGTACTCTGAACTGATATTTGGCCCATAAGCACAAACAACAGTCAGGACCCGTTCCCCAACCCGAAGGCGCAGGTAAGCTACCCTCTCATCCCCCGGGGTAAACCCCAGCACACAGGCAGGGAGTCTTGGAGCTAACAAAAAGCCAACCCCAGCCCTCCGCCTCTCACCCGGAGCAACTCCAGCAAAGGAGAGTGTCCAACCCCTCTCAAGGACTTGGGTTCCAGAGCCAATGCTATGTGTCGAGGTGAGTCCGACTATATCTAGCCGGTACCGCTCAACCTCTGCCACAAGCTCCTGCTCCTTCCCCGCCAGCGAGGTGACGTTCCATGTGGCAAAAACCAGTTTTCTTGTCCGGGGATCGGACCGCCAAGGCTCCCGCCTTGGTCTGCCACCTGATCCACACTGCACCGGACCCTTCATGTTCCTCCTGCGGGTGGTGGGTCCACAGTTGGATGAGCCCATATATCCGGTTCGGGCTGGGCCCGGCCGGGCCCCATGGGCGAAAGCCCGGCCACCAGGCGCTCGCTCACGTGCCCCAACCCCAGGCCTGGCTCCAGGGTGGGACCCCGGTAACCCTCCGGGCCGGGTTCTCCGACTCTTTGAATTTACTTCCATGAAAGATCCTGTGAACCGTTCTTTGTCTCACCCTTCACCTAAGACCAATTTGTCATGGGAGACCCTACCAGGGGCACAAAGTGCCCTAGACAACATAGCTCCTAGGATCATTAGGGCACTCAAACTCCTCCACCACGATAAGGTGACGGTTGAAGGAGGAGTATATTTAGATTTCAACATTAATATTTAACTTTACAAATTTAGATTTGACTGTAAATATTTAGGGATTAGTTAAAAGAAATCCAATGATTTTATTCAAATTCTTAAGGCAAATATTTTTATATTTGGATATTGTTGGAATTATTTAGTTTTACTGTTCTATTCTTATTTATACTGCAACAATATTATGTAAATTTTATTCTGATATGTAGATTTACCTTCATAGATGTATATTTTAGCTGAAACATTAAGTTTAAAATGGAAATATTTATACTTACATATTTGTATGTAAATTGACAAACACAAGATTTAAGTTGAAATGTTTATATTTAACTTCATATTTTAAAATTTTATTCTAAATATTCAGGTAACTTTTTATAAAATCAGATTTTGCTCTATACGTTTTTTGAACCCTTTATTGGGCACTTATTGAAATATTTTTAATTTTTTTTTAATTTCAGCCAAAGGGTGCTAATGTAGTCCATAACCAAAGAGTATTTCTGTTGTTACAATTTAAAAAAATATTTATTTTCCTGTAGAAAACCAGAGAAAACAAAGTGATTAAATATGGACGTTGGCCCTGTTCTGGTAAGAGAAATCCCAAAATAAAATAACACAAACATGTTAAATAAACATTATTTTTTCAATAATATAGATAAATATAAGACACTTGAGACTAATCTAGCTAATTTTAGAACATTACATCACTGTTCAAAATACAGAACACATCACAATATAGTATATTTTTATAAAATTTAATTATTGTAGAATATTTTTGAAAAGTTATTGAACAATAGATACTATTTCTGATCAAATATAGATTAGAATATTTTAGAATATTTTATATCCGAGGTTCTGCCTCAATGTTATGTTCCTCCTGTTCATCATCATCCCCGATGGTGAGATTGGTTGGCGCAATAACTGTCCTCCTCCATTTCCCAGAGAAATCTTAGTTTAAAACTGCTAAATAAATTCAACATCATAATTGTTGTGATTACTGTTAACAAGAATATTAAGATTATGTCAAAAAAACAAACAAACAAGATTTTACCTTAAAATAATCATAATTTCTTTTACTTGTTCAGGGCGTATGTTCAAATATGGCAGATGTGAGTTTCATGCTAAGATTCCACCAACTTCACTGTTTAACCTTTAAAACACATATATCCTTATTTAGCACAACTAGTCAACCTTGTGATGTGAGAGTTTCATAAACCTAGCACTGTTAGTTTTAGAGATCTGACGGTAAACACGAGAGGAGACTGAGGAGTTTTCTGGTT